TTTTTGACTAACCTCTTTAAAAAGCTCAACCCGCCCCTGATTTCCAAAGAGTTAATTTAATGTTGAGTGGCTGCATCTATTTTTACATAAATAAATTTCTGTATCGATATTTCGTTTATTTTAGTTTTTTTTCAGCAAATTTATTATTCAAATTGAGTACAGAGTTATGTCCAGTAGTAAATCCAAGAGTTTTTCCTAATTGGTCTGTAACCAACTAAAATCCTTCATTCGCAAATGTTTTCAACAAAATTCCATTATTCACTACTATTTTAATAATTCCAATTTTAAAACCTTTAGCACTAACTTGATTTATTGCTCAACTACTAATAATAACAAAAAAATCTAAAGTAATCTGTTTAGTTTTTTTAGTATTGAAATTTTGTGAATGTGATAAAATGATTTTGAAGATTTTTTTTGCGCCATAAAGCTCTTATTTTATATATTTTATATTCTGATAGATGTGATTTTTCCAAATGCCGTTTCTGATAGATGTGATTTTTCCAAATGCCGTTTTATATTGTAAACTTTTGATTTTTTTATTTGCATGGCGCATGAAATCACTTTATCATTTAACTTTTCTGTAATCTTACATGTAATCAGTTTTGTAGTTTTATCAATTGAAAAATACTTATCTAGAAACCTCTCAGGATCGTTTGAGTTTGAAGCTATTTTTATAAAAAACTATGAAAATAAAGTAAACGACAATTTTTTAAAATAAGAGAAATAATAAAAAAGATGGTATAAACAAAAGTAATATCAATAATATCAACAACAAAAAAAAATGTTAAAATCTTTTCCTAATTTTATTTGGAATTCACATGTTTAAATCTACTTTAAAATGTTTCAACTAATTAAAAACGTTAAAACAAATCATGTGACTTAACACATAGATAAAGTATTTTTTCGTTAACGATTGTCCATACAGTACGTACAGAAAGGAGTGTACATAAAGTACGGTCGAATGGGATAGAGGGGTCAATTACAAAAGTAAAGAGACACTAAATTTAAAAAAATATTATAAAATGTTGAGTATGTAGGTTGAGTATGTAGGTTAAAAAGACTTGCAACTTTAAGGGAAGTGGAGGGTACTCAAAAAAGTGTAAAGCAAAATGCAGATTGAGGGGGGGGGGGGTTGGATGGGAGATGAAAAAAAAGCTTACGTACTATATGGACGACCCTTTAACTGATCATTGACATTGTTTAGAAGTATTGTTTTAATGTAACTTATCATAATCTACAATAAGAACCACATGATATATTACACAAAATAATTGGATAAAAATTAAATTCTGAAAAAAAAAATTTTTTTTTTTTTTTATAAACCATATCAAAAAATGCATTATTTACAAATTATGAAATTTTTATGAGCGTAATTGTTTAAATTCTTTAAAAAATCTTATATAAAATAATAACATTATAGAAATTTGATATTTCAAAGTATCAAAAGGGTGGAGCTGGCTCCGGAGCCAGATCCGACAGGAAATATTTTAGCTCCAGCTCTGGCTCAGCTCCATGTAAAATCAACAGCTCCGGATAGCTCCGGCTCCAGCTCTGGAGCTTCTCCAAAGCCCTGGATAGACAAGATAGCAAAACATAATCTCATCTATTTCTTTATTAAGAATGGATGTACGTCTTTCATTAGTAGTTCAGTCGTCATTGTTAGAATTAATGATGCAAACACTTCTTTGAAAGTAGGGCCGACGCGAGTAGGTATCAAAACGGGAGGGGGATAAATATTTTTAACAAATCTAAATTGCTCCACTATTCTAAAATCAGTTCTAATTGCTTCTGCAGGACTTTAGAGTTGATGTACAATATTTATAAAGCTGTTAGAGATTTTAATTTCAACAGCATAAAGTTTGAGTCTTGATTCATAATTAAGCTTACACAAAGCATGCACTTGTTTTTGCTCGTCTTTAAATTCTTTTAAAATTTTTTTGTCTTTTTTCCTGTAAAGATTCTATGCCGTAAAAAATGTCTCAAGATAAGGTCTTACAAATAATGTGAAATCTTGAATGATTTAACGTTCCAATAACTGAAAGTTTGTTTAAGCATTCCGAAAACAGAGTCATCTTTTGACGTGTCTTTTCGGCATCGGATTTCCCTTTTTAAGTTTTTTGTATGAGGATTATGCTTGAACAGTGGCATAATACCTTAGTATTATGCTTGAACAGGGGCGGGCGGCTTTTTTCATTTGCCTAGGAGGCGACTGAAAGGTCTTTAAAAAAAAAAAAAAACGTCCGCATATTTTCATTTATAAGTTACTATCTTTTTTAATTTTTTGTACTTTAGTGTAATAATCAAGTTCATATACCTATAATTACGTATAATAGTCAATTTTATTCGTCAGTATAATAGTCTAATTCTGTATAATAGTCGAAAAAAAGTCCTAAGGAGGGGGTCCTAAGGAGGGGGTCCTAAGGACTTAAAAAAAGTCCTAAGATACAGTTTCCTGTAATTCTTGACCATTTATGGTTATTATTTGTTTTATTTTTCATACTTACATAGCTTTACATTTATCATTATTAAATTTCGTATACCATCCCAGTCAGCCATTTGATATCATAATTATATCATATTGATCTCATACTGTGAGATCTATGATATCATAGCATGATACGTTTATGAGATCAATATGATATCAAAATGAAATCACACAGTTATATCAGTTTGAGCTCAAATTTGATATCATAATTTGAAAACCTTATGATATAATATGGTAATAATTATCAAATTAAAAAACCACCTTCCAATTTCCAAAAAGAATAATATAGATTATATAGTACACTTCATACAAAGGGTTCATGGCAGTCTTGAAAATCCATTTTCCTTGATTTTCACCTATCTTCAAGTACTTTTTCCCTGAGTTTGTGCAGTGAAAAGTATATAACTTTCCTGTCAATGTTGAAGGATGCATATTGTTTTCAAAGGGATATGCTGTGATTTCATCTAAACAACCATATCTTTTAGCTGTAGAAGCTAAATGGTTTAGACAGTAAAAGTTATATGTAAGTAAATGATCCGAGTAGTAAACCCTTGCATTGTTTACAAAACAATACAGCAGCGAATAAGCATAATCTTTATAGAATGTCATTAGGTCAATGTCAATATTTTTTTTACCAATTATTAATAGATTACATACTGACAGAATCTTTTAGCAATATTTAAATTTAAAAGTACTTAATATAATCAAAAAAATCCTGGAAAATCAAGTAACACTAACTTAAAATATTTTGTTAACTTTTTGATATTTTTGTTTGATGTCTCATTTTGTTTCTTGTTTAATTATTTTAATTTGAGATTTTTAAATCTCAAAACCTTGCACCTCATCCTTGAAATAAAATAATGTTACCAAATTTTGATTCTTCTTTTACTCTTCCTGTATTTAAAACTAATTTTTTAAATATTTTCTTTATGGACAGCATTTTAAAATTCTACTAAAAACCTATGTAAAATGTATTTGTTAAATCTTCAGCATATTATTTATTAAAATGTTTGTATGTTGTATCTTTGCATTATGTTAAATCTTTAATATATTTATATATTACATATAAATGTTTAACTTTTAAGATTCTGACGATATGATCCTTATGACTTTTCGTCAACAAATTTGTTTTTGTAATTTTGCCTTTTGTATTACTTTAAATATAATAAAGCGTAGTATATTTTTACATTACACTTTTGGAAGCAGATCACATGCATAAACTTTAGTTAAAAGTAGCATATTCAGTTATGAAGAGTATTAAAATAAAAGGTTATTGAGTTGTCACAAAAAAAAAAAGAAGTGGAATAGAAAAACGAGTCATACAAGAAAAAAAGATTCAAGTTTATTAGATTCGAACTAAATTAATAATGAATAAAAAAAGATGTAAATATTACTGTACATTGATAAAAATTAAATTTTAATATTTAATGAAAAAAATTAAATTTTTTATTATAAGTATGAAAAATTTTCTTAATTATGAAATGTTTTTTTTTAGTTTACAGATCTAATTCCAGTATATCAATCATATATAATACATTGTTACCTTGGATTTATTCGGCTATAATAAAAATTCACTTATATAATAAAAAACCGGTGTAAAACCGATTACCCGGTTTTACAATTTAAAAAGACCGAAAACCGGTTTTTCAATAAATGATATCAATGTGATGTAATTTAGATATCAAAACTTTCTCATGGTTCGATATCAAGTCGTAATCTCAATAAGATCTCATGGTGATACCACAAGCATACTTGAATTTATTTATATATGGTTATGACATCTATATGATGTCATAACCATATATAAATGAGAAATTTTTGATATCATATTAATATCATATTGATCTCATACGATGACTGGGCAGTCATTAGCCCATTTTGCAGCTGTGTCTATGTTTTTTTGAAATGAAATGCTAGCCATTAGATTTTTTATGATCGCAATAAACTTTGTATCGTCTGCAAAAAGCTTAATGAAATTTGTCATTTAGTTTTTTTGCAAAAGTTTGTTTTTAAACTATTTTGCAGATCCTTGTGGAATATCTTTAATAAATACAACAAAGAATAGAGATCCTAAACTAGAACCTTGCAGTTGGCCGTTGACCGGCGTGAAGGCAGGTCGCCCCCTTTCCCCCACGCCTAATGCTGAATCCGCCACTGAGCTAGATGTGTATTTGAAGTAGTTAGTTTTACAGATAGAGGTTGGTAATTTTAAAGGTCAAGAGACACCAAGTTAAGGAAAAAAAAGCAGATGATATTTCACAAAAATTATAATTGTTGGCTGGTTTTTCCAGTGGCATGAAATCACTGCAAAGCTTTTTATATTCGAAGTTTTTTTAATATAGGTTTATTCAAACCAACTTGAAACTGTGTTTTAACAACTGCGATAAGAACATTCATTTTAATTTTCAAAATTTGTGGCAAATTTTTTTATTTCACCTTTATTTTTTCAATATTTAAGATTTATATTATGGCGTTTTCGCGTGTCGTTTTTTGAATTTTGTTTTTAATTTTTACGTGGAACGCTATTATTTTTCAAAGGCTAACTTTGAAAATATTGCTATTACAAAAAATTTATCTTACCCTTTTAACGTTGTCTTTTTAGTATACCTATACATATTTACATATAAGAAAAAGTCTTTCTTCGATTTTTCTTTATACTTTTCTGGAAATAAGAAGAAATTTGAAAACTTATAAATATGGATGATCGAATTTTAGTAAGTATTATCAATACTTTTATAATCGACTTGATTGAAATAAATTTCTCAACCATTAGTCGATTACAATTATATGTTTTGTTTTATACATAAAATAAATTTGTATTATTTATTTTCTAAATAAATTAAAAATAAGTTTTTATGGTTATCTAAATAATCACAGTAATTGTCCATGTTTTTCATAATAATCACAAAAATCACAGAAAGACCCAATTTTATGACAGTCCTTGTCATAAACCTTGGTCTTTATCTTATTGTAGTCTCTTTATGCCTTTTAAACGAACACTTAAGTATGGCTTTAGTTCAATCAAGCATCAATCAATCCACTTTTGGAACTCTCTTCCTATTGAAATTTAAAAAAATACTCTTCAAAATAACTAATAGAAATGCCTTCATACCCAATGTAAAAAAGTTTATCCTCAATAAAAATAATCAATGAACTCTTCTATGCAATCACCCCTTTTAGTTATTCTCTATAACTAATTTAATAACTGTCTGTAGATGTCTCACACAATTGTATATATATAGTTATTATCAAAGTGAAGATATATTGATTTTATTGAATTTTGATTTTCATATTTTCTATTACAATTATGGGATTATTATAAAATTTTGTGTTCAACTTTTAAGTTAGAAATATTTATATAGATATTTATTTTAAAAATAATGCTAAGAAAATAAAAATATCAAATTTAATTACTATGTTTTCAAAAGTTTTAAAATGCAATCTTGCAATTTTAAGGCAGTTAAAAAAATTGTTACATGAATATATATATATATATATATATATATATATATATATATATATATATATATATATATATATATATATATATATATATATTCATGTATATATATATATATATATATATATATATATATATATATATATATATATATATATATATATATATATACATGAATATATATATATATATATATATATATATATATATATATATATATATATATATATATATATATATATATATATATATATATATATTTCACTCCATGTAATTTCTCTACATTTGATATGTATTTATCAATACAATGATAAATACTTTTATTAATGTAAATAGACATTAAATACAAGTCCAATATATAACAATAAAGAAAAGTTATTAGAAGTTATAACAATAAAAAAAAGTTTTTATACAGTATAACTACTTAAAAATAAATAAAATGTTTATATAACATAAATAAAAATATCTTTACATTTTTGAGTTTGAATTTCTCTTATTATTTTTTTTGCCAGGCAAACATCTAGGTTTAATAATACTTCTTTAAATATAATAATAGTTCTCTAAATCAATAATAATTATTGATTTAGAGAAGTGAAAAATATAAAGTAAAATCCATTTAGACAATGACAGTTATTTTATGCAGGTGAAAATATAATACACTAAAGTTTTGATATATTTCACAAAGGTTTGATTTTCGGCTCATTTTAAATATAATCACAATTTTAGCATTCTTAAGAAAATACAGAAAAACCATAAAATATTAATTTTATTAATTAAAAATTTATTCTAAAAATTTTTTTTTACAATAAACTTGCAGAAACTTTATATTGTGATTTTTTATATTTTATTTTGTTATTTTTTTTTTTTTTAAGTTATTTAGGTGCTCCAAGAAGTCCAGAACTCTAACCATTACACTATGACTTCTAATATTTTAAACTTTTGTACAATTTTATTTTGAAAAGGCATCTAATAATAAATAATTATCTGGGTATAGTAAGGGTATCTAATAAAAACCAATTATCCTAATAATGACTAATTATATTTATCAAATATGTCAGGTCAAGTTATCCTGCTACTGGTAACATGTAACCCAGTACAATCTGCTTCATGTCCTGCTGCCTTGTAGAATAAACCTTTTTAGGCAAAGGCTAGGTGATGTCAACTCTGACTTAAAACACCCCCTGCTTTAGGGCTCTTGGTTGAGTAAAGGCTAGAGATGGTGTCTCTATGAAAATACTCATCTTGGGCAGATGTTAAATGCATCCGGATACTGTCTTGTAGAAGGCCTCTTAGGTAAAGACTTGAGGGGTAAAGAGATTCTATCTGTTGACCAGCCTAGCACCCCTTCTCCATCTATTAGGCTGGCGCAGATGTATTTTTAATACATTGTTTTCAGTTTAGGATGTTGAATGCTGGATCTTCTTGACTTAATGCATGGGTTTCGCTTGTGTCTCTGTTTTTATGACTAGGCAACTCATTCTATTATCTCCTAATGAGGGTACAGCTCTAAAACTCAGTTTTATGGTTCTGAGACCGACTGGTAGTCAGGTTTCCCGAACTCTGTGGTAGCTCTCAGAAAGGCTGATTCCATCAACAACAGAAAAATATCAGTATTAACAGTGCCATGTTTTGCATGGATGTTGTCCTTGTTTGTACTTTTAATGTGCATTGCCAAGGCCCCATCTGCTGGCATTAAAGCCCACAACTTTTGCCTTTCTCAATCCCTTAATCAAATAGTCAACTTTCCAACTTGCTTTCCAGACAACCCAAATCATTTACCTTCTTTACTTGACCTATGTCTTGTTTCTGATCCTAATCAGTGCTCAGTTTCTTCACATTTACCTTTAGGTGCCTCTGATCACAGTTTGATCTCTCTAAAACTATTATCTTATTCATCTTCATCATCAGAATCTCCTATCATCATACCTCTTACAACTACCTTAAAACTGACTGCGACTCTTTCCGTGATTTTCTTCGTGATGACCCTTGGGTAGAAATCTTTCATCTTCCTGTTGAAATATATGCTTCTCACATGTTCTGTGATAAGACCGTAAGGACTTCTGGGAGCACCTAAATAATCTAAAAAAAAAAAAAAATCTGTTGCAAAATTAACATCTAAGCTAAGGTTGCATCTCTTTATTAAACTCGAAACTTTCTTACTCAGGATTCTATTCTCTATCTCTATAAATCTCAAATCCGTCCTTGTATGGAATACTGTTGCCATATCTGGGGCAGATCTTCTAATGATGCTATTTCTCTTTTAGACAAAGTGCAAAAATGCATTGTAAACATAGTTGGACCTGCTCTTGCTGCCAAACTTCAACCATTATCACATCACTGTAATGTTGCTTATCTTTCTCTTTTATACAAATACTATAATGGGCACTGCTCTAAATAGCGTCTCTTGTGCCATCTACTTAAATTCATTCTCGTATTACTTGCCATTCAATTAAGTCTCATCCTTTTTCCGTGTGTTCCAAAAACTCTTATTCCTCTAGTTTTTTTCCTCGAACATCAGTTCTTAGGAATTCGCTTCTTTCATCTTGCTTTCCTGATTCATATATTTTACAATCTTTTAAGTTGTCTGTCAATCATTATCTTGCTCTGCAATCTTCATCTTATCTCTTCCAGTAACTTCTAACTTTAATTACTGGTTGCTTGCAGCCTTGTTTGAAGCGTAGATTTAAAAAAAAAAAATCTTCAATCCTATTATAAGTTTTGAATGAATTTTTTCAATAATCCCCATTAAAATTTAAATAATTTTAATTGATTTTGTTGATTTTAAAAGTCAGGTCAAATTATCGTTAAAAGTATAGAAAGGTTGACTGTTTGTATTAGAAAATCACATGTTTCTTGATTAGACCAGTGTCTTAAGAATGATTTTTTTTTGCTTTTGCATACTGGTTAATCGCAGTTAATAAAACCCTATAGTTTGTTCTATACTAAAACTGATAAGAGAACCAGATATTCATCCATTCACCAGTAATGAAATTAAATAGTGGTCCCAGTTGTTGTTGATGTTCTGGCAATAAAATAATTGCCAGTAATGCTAGAAGTCCTCTGGAATTCACCTAGCATTACTTATATTTGAAAGAGCTTTAAAATTTATTTTTGCAAAATCTTTTTTTTTCTAAATAAAACCTGTAATGATGTCTTAGCTCATACAAAAGCTTCATATTGTTTTTTTACCTCCAAAAATTTGAAATGTTCAACAAAAAAAAAGCCATGCTTTAATAACAACATCTAATACATGATGCTGGCAACCAATATATTCTGGAACTTCTAAATTCCTGGCTATAAACTCTTTTTTCAATTATACTACAACACCACCTTTTGCTCCTCTATTTGTATTTTTATTTTGTCACAAATAATCATATTTATTACTTCTCTTATATAAAATTCATTTAACAAATTAATCAACAAATTTTCATTTTTCTTGAAATTGATTTTTCTGTTATGATTAGAAAATTCAGTTTGGTCTATAATGAAATTAATTTGTAGGCAATAACTTTACATCTTACAAAAACAGATTTCTCTAATGAGGTCAAGTAAGTGAGCCTCCCTAAAACAACTAGTGGGTTTGAAATTCTAATTAACTTGTCTATTGGTTTTACAATTTTATTGATTTCTATTCTTTTTGCCGTTGTTTTCTCAAAATGAACTTAATTACTTAGCCCAGTTTTCTTATTTTTGTTTATGGTCTCACTGCTTAGGGTCAACCGAGGTAAAATGGGTATAAAATTGAGATGGTTTTCGTTTGCAGTTGCACTGGTTGAACTGTAGTTAATTTTACTAAATTTTTATTTCAAAAATTTCACATTTAACCTATTTAGAATTAAAATCAATTTAAAGAGAATATTTTTATTTTACAATTTTTGAGATAGGGTCCATTTTACCTCAGGGTGCGTAATAAAGTGAGTATACTATGGGGTAAAATGGGTAACGGGTTCTGTTGGTAAAACTTAAACATTTTAAATAAAAATAATTAAAAATAACTGTACTTTTCTGAAATTTTATTCAAACTTAAACAAAACTACACTTTTTGTGATCAAAATGTGTGTGGAAAGTTTTTATTTATACTGCACATAAGTATATTTGAGTGAGGATGATCCACAAAAATCATTTAATCTTACGCTTCCTTGATTAAACAAGTCTCAGAAAGCAATCTAGCTAAGGGAATTTGTATTGTTCACAACTATTGCAGGAAAGCTGTGGCAATTTTTTCAAGATGTTGTTATCCACAATGTCATCAATGTCATCCTTCTCAGGAAAAACAAAGTATGGCGGTAATGGTGACTTAGTCTGAAACTTCACAGTGTACAGGCCTTCATCTGGAGTTTCAATCACAAGTCCGTATAACTTATGGTTTATCTTTTTACCAACATACTTTACCAGCACTCAATCCCCAACAATTACATTGAAGTTGTTCTTTTCTTTAGGGACTTTCTCAATCTCTTCAGTCATTATTTCTTTTGTTTGTCAGTTAGGCCTACTAGTTTGGCTTGTATTTTTGAAATCTGCTGTTTTGAATTTCTTTGCTAATTTGCCTTTCTCTTCATTAAACAGCCTGGTTGCAACATTCTTTGTTGTTAAGACTTCTCCAACCTTTGCCTGCTTTCTTTATCTTTTTCTTCCAACATTGTTAATTACATCTATTTTATTTTGTGAACAACCTGGTGAAAATGTTTTCAAAATTACCCGCTGCAGAACTTTAAAGGGAGATTCAGTAGATATGTTACTGATAGTGTCCAGAGTCTCTAAAAGTGAAACACTTGGTTGACCTTGAAGCATAGGTCTGTGTACTTCTGACTCCATAACGTTTGAAGCTGAAACCACTGGCTGTTGATTGCTTTCCACTGGCTTTACAGCTGAAACAATCAAAATGTTGAACTGCTTCTTTGTTTCTGAATGTGGAACTGCTTCTTTGTTCAATGGATAGAGCCCACTACCTCTGAATGCACTTACTGCATTTTTCTCTGTTAATTGGTCATAGAGTTGCTTTACTAGACAAGGAAAAACCTCCTTGTTACTTTCTGGAGACGACTTTCTCTAAACCATCTCTTAAAAATGTCCCTCCAAGCAAGCTTTAATGGTCTAAAGACCCTAACGTCCAGAGGCTGAAGAGCATGACTTGTCTTAGGTGGCAAGCATAGTATTATAATATTGTTTGCCATTGCGGACTTTACTGTTCCATAAGTTAGATGACTGCCATGGCCATCATAAATGATCAGCACAGGTTTCTTAATATGTTCAACGCTTTTAATGAAATGTCTTCCATCTATCCTGACTTTGTTGTTGCATAACAAGTACCTGGAGGTCCACTTTGCCTCTATGACTTATACAGATGTAGCCTTTTGTACACAATAAATGGAGACATATACCATCCTGAGGCAGATACACAGAAAAGAACACTGTAACTTGCTTTTCCTCCACATGCTGATTTCAGATAAGCAGTACGTAATGAAACTGGCACAAACACTTTAGAAGCAATAGAGTTTGTCCCTAAACTAGCTTCATCAAAATAAAAATCCTGTGCAGTTTGTCAAGAAGATCAAGAAGATACATTTTCATACATTTGAAAAAAGGCATTGACAACACTTTCTGTCAGCACTTGTGCCCTTGCTTTGCTTAAAAGTTCAGGCTTTCCTTTTGAAAGTTTTCCTTTCAAAACGAAAAGTTTTTTAAACCCAGTAATCCAGTCATTACTAGAGCTGTTGTCTTTAAAAGGATTAGGTATTCCTTTTTCTTGAATGAAACACTTAACCATTGATATCAAGTCAGAACAGTCCCATGGAAATCCACTATCAGCTAAATAGCACAGTGTGCGAACAATTAAGCGTTCCTCATCAGCGTTAAGAACAAGGAGTCATTCAGAACCAACTCGCTTTGGAGTTTGAACTACCCATCTCGTTAAAGTTTTATATGTAATTTTCTTTTCCCTTGAAACTTCATAAACTGAATTTCCTTGTTCAATGATAAGTCTTGCATTTTCCAAGTCCTCCTTTGTATAGTTGGGTTATGTTTTGCCGATATAATTCCTTGGCATTTTAAATCAAATCAGCAACTGTTGAAGGCCTGCAACAAAACAGAACAAATGAATTAATGTATATTCATTTCTGCATTTAGTTAATATTACATAATAATAAATGCTGCTAGATATCACTGTGACTGTGGCATTAGCTTATCTTAGTATATGTTATACCCATTTTCCCCCATTCTGGTTTTTTCAACTAATATTTAAAATTGTTTGATTTTTCACATTCCTGTTGCTATTAACTAAAAGAGGAATTTTTCCTGCTTATAAATCTGTAACTTGTGGCTGTGTATGTTAAATACATCATTTTTTACAACAAAGTTTTACCTGTTGGTGAAAGCACAGGGAAACTAAAACCAAAATGGTGGCACACCCTGTAGCGAAGCAGCACAGTAACAAAAATTCCCAATTACAATTTTTTTAATAAAAATTATTTCACTATCATAAAAAACTAAAACTTATTTCAATACATTAATAGTGCATTTGTAACAAAATTAATTAATTAAAACAGCTCTACCCTTTTTACCCAAATTAAAACTGCTCTACCCTTTTTACCCCAACTACCCATTTTAATGAAAAATACTAAAAATTACTAGACTAAATTATACACAAAGTAAACAAGTTGATTTTTTAAAGTTGTGGTTGTGGGACTTTTTTAAAACTAATCATCAAGTTATATATTATTTAAAGTTGTTTTTATTTTAAAGTTTCCTCTCTTAATGTTAAAGCCATTAAAAAAAAATCAAAATTTGATTAAGTTAATAATCACCCTTATGAACATTGCTACACAGTTGAAGTTTTTGCTATTTTAAATCAATATTAAATTTTAAAAGCACATACCAAACGTTGTTCATACTACTTTCACAGAAAGTATAGGTTTAAAGCATTTGATACTGTAATTTTACCTGTTGTTCTTTTGTTGCTATGTAGAATTTCTCAACATTTTGCTAAATGTAATGAATACACTACTTTTTTGAGAGTTTTGATGTTTAAATTTAATTTTTAACTTAATTGATGATTGATGTTTTCTTTTATTGTGTATCAAAGTTTTATATGTTAGGATGCATTAGTACAATTTTAATACATTTTTAAATACATTTGAAAAATAGCAGTTTTTTCTTAATTTTTTTTTGTTTGTTGATAAAAATGTTTTAATACTTTCCTATCTGTTATTGTCCTTTTATAATAATTTTATTTTAAGGAAGCTTCATTGTATACAATTAAAGCTGTTGCAATCCTTGATAATGATGGTGAAAGAATCATATCACGTGTAAGTTGAACTTCTTTGTTTAATTCAATAGAAAATTAATTAAGCACTTCAAAAATTTACCATTTAAATGCTGAATCAGCAGTGCGCACAGAATAGATGACCTTTTATGAAAGAGAGTATAGTGGTAATCTTTTTTAAAACTAAAACTGTGCAATTTTGATATTGAGCTAATACTCAGCATTCTATTAAAATAAGTAATTGCTTATACTCAGTATTAACTTCTTAAAACTTTTGAAGTTTTGGTCAATTTTTTATTCACGTAGAGCTAAGCAACTTATTCAGTAATTGTTCAGCTTTACGTGAATAAAAACCTTTGCAAAATTGCTAAAGTTTTTATTCACGTAAAGCTGACCACATACTGAGTAAAAGCAATTGCTCATTTTTATTCACCCAGTCTAATATCTTAGTTATTCTGCTAAAAGGTTTTATGTTGTCCTGCTATCAGAGTTGCTATGGTTATGGTCAGGTTTCATAAGATTTTGATTCAATTCCACCAAATCCAAAAACATGTTTCAAAATCCTAAACTACTTTCTCTATACACCATCAAATTTGATGGTGCTTAAAGCATGTAGTCAAGGAGCAAAACTTGATTATAAATTTTTGCTTGAAGCGTATTGTCAAGTAGCAAAGCGCTAATTATGTAATTATTTAGTTGAGTAAAATTTGATTGGATAAAGTAGAGTTGAAAAATGAAATTGAAAGGAAGTAGTTAAAGAATAAAATTTGATGGTGTATGGAAGAGGAAGTAATGATTAAAATCATGACAAACTTGAAAATATTTTTAAGGCATTAGAATTTCAAACTCAGTGTAAAATTTAAACTGGGGTGAAAAGAAGACATGAGCTTGTTGAGGAGCAATCTGTTTTAGAAAAAAGAACTAAGGAAATGTCAGTTCAGTTATTTTAGAATTTTATACTTTTATTGAACTGATCTGTTTATTTTATTTTATTTTGTTTTTTGATTTTTCAAAAAATCAAATGTTTTTTAATAAAGGTTTTTTTTAAATAAAAATTTAGTATAAAGATTTTGCGAGATTAGTTGTTATAATTTTATAAAATTAGAAATAAGATACATTTGGTACTTTTTTAGTAATTTAGATTTAGTTTTTTGTTTAAAACATTTTTTTATATATTTAAGTCTTTATTTTACATATTAATATTTAAATTATATTTTGTTTATAATCTACTTTAAAGAGTAAATAGTTCCTAAATTAAAAAAGTTAAAAATGGAAACTTAAATTTAGTTTTTATTTGTCTAAAAATGTCATAAATTTCATTCTAGTTTGTCCTAAAAAATGTCATAAATTTCACTCTAGTTTGTCCTAAAAAATGTCATAAATTTCATTCTAGTTTGTCCTAAAAAATCGAACCCAAAGTATAAGATTTCACCCTATTTTAGAAGTGAGAGTTCTGCTAGTAAATATTGGCAGTCATAACCTCCACGATGTAGGTTATAACTTCCAATATTTAACCTACAGTTAATCCAATGTTCAATCTTTCTATGCAAGAACCTGGAGGTATTGGATCCCTAATGTGGTTGGTTATTAAATCTGATGTTTTTGTTAGATGTATCTCTGCTGTTGACTTGTTAGAGCTGGATCTTACTGTAAAAGTATTTTCTAAAGATAAATTTATTCATTTTGGATTTTCAACTTGGGAATAACTTTAGAATTTTTATGTAAAGATAAAGTAAAATCTGCACAAAAAAAATTAGGAAAAAAAAATTAAGAAAAATGGTTATTGTCATATTAGAGAAAATCACTCAAAAAAATTTCATGGAGATAACTTTTTCATGATATGAAGCGCAAATAACTTTTACATGGTATGAAACGCAAATAACTTTTTCATGGTATGAACCGCAAATAACTTTTTCATGGTATGAAGCGCAAATAACTTTTTCATGGTGTGAAGCGCAAATAACTTTTTTATGGTATGAAGCGCAAATAACTTTTTCATGGTGTGAAGCGCAAATAACTTTTTTATGGTATGAAGCGCAAATAACTTTTTCATGGTGTGAAGCGCAAATAATTTTTTCATGGTATGAAGCGCAAATAACTTTTTCATGGTATGAACCGCAAATAACTTTCCACATCCCTCTATTAAGCAGGGATGCAGAGTACCAAAAAAGATTCTAGATTTGAAAATTACTAGAAGATTACTTCTTGGTTTTTGGTATCCAATTTTTGGAAAAAAATTAAAACTTTAGGTTAATAGATTTGACTCGAGAATAAAGAGTAATAGATTTGACTCGAGAGCCCTTAGGTTTAATGGCGGCAATTTTTAAGTTATTAAATCTTGTGAATTTATTTTTTATAACAGACCAAAACAGATCAAAACACCAGAGACCAAGAAAAAGTAGAGATATAAAGCTGGAGTCCTTTTGGGATTCCGCATCCCTCCTATTAAGTACTTATTTACCATGATTTCTACTATTCCATTGATTTTTTTGGCTCTTATGATTTCATGGATTGTAAACCAAGAAACTTTTTTTAAGAGGAGTATGTTTATTAAAATCCTAAATAAAGTAGTTAATGTCTTCAGCAAGAATAAAATTAAGCAAAATAGATAAATAAATAGAATTTATATCTTTGAATATTTTAGGCAATTTAAATATTTAAAATTTTCTTTTGTTACTATGATTTGTTTTGTTTTAGTACTATGATGATACATTTGCAACTGTTAAGGAACAAAGAGAATTTGAAAAAAATTTGTTTCAAAAAACATCCAGACAAAATGGTAAGGTAATATGTAATAAATTTAAAAAAAAAAAAAAACTGAAACACTTGCTATTTACCTTTACTTTTTGCACTTTTGTGATCATAATGTTTTAGTAGTTGCTTCAAACTTTGGAATATCAACAGAATCACAAAAAAATAATAATTAAGAACATCAATTATATATTGAAAAATGCTTTACATTTGCATGAAGTTGTTGTTAGTTGTAAATTTTTGATGATCAATATCATGGAGAAAACTTTAATTTTTATGCTTGACCTTAAAATCAGAAAATAGTGGACTTGGAAACAACCTGAAAAAAAATAAGAAGCATCATCTTTACATCTTATCTATATGATAAGATGTAAGGGATATATATGATAACATCTAAATGTATACATATGATAATAGATGGGACACATATATAAGATTTAAGATATATACATTATATTCTTTGATAAAAGATGTGATACATATGATAAGATGTAAATGCCTATGCAGACTCTATTGATGTTCAAATATTATATCCTTATATTAAACATAAAGAGAAATTTCAACATCAACCAGAAAACAAAGTAAACAGCTAAAGAAAAAGAAAGTAACTGACAGTGTTCTTTCAAGTGCTAATTATTTTTCTAATTAAATATTTAAAGTGGCACATAAAATCAAAACTGCTCATACTGCGTTTTGAAAATAAGCTCTTTATATAGAGAAATAATATTTAAGTGTGTCAACCTATGCAGACTCTATTAATGTTGAAATATTATTTCCTTATATTTTATATTTAGAGAAATAATATTTCATCATCAACCAAAAAGCAAAGAACAGAGATAAACAATAAGAAAGTGGACAAAAATGATTGACTGAAGGCTTCAAAAATTATAAACTCTATGAGTCAGGAAACCATGAAAACAAGAATTTGTTCACACAAAAAACTAGATGTATACAAGTTAAAAACTAGATATATAAAAGTTCACAGAAAAATCTAGATATATAAAGAAAAATCTAGATATATAAAAGATGAAAAATCTAGATATATAAAGGATGAAAAAACTAGATGTATAAAAATTTGAATGAAGGAACAGTTACAGAATTACAAACTTTGGTGAGTTACATAAGGTTGAGTTTTAGCTAGTGTTACAAGTGTAGCTCACTTGAGTAGGGACTGTGATAAGAAAAGGGATGGGATATCACAATGATAGCACAGAGACTCAATCTTTTCAAAACGCCTGTTATTTTCTACTTGCTATAATCAACTTGCATAACTTTTCAAAATACAAATATTGCTAATACGTACAACAAAAAATTTGAAAACACGCAATCACAATCAAAAAACACTTATGACAACAGTCAGTTAACCTCAAGAAAATTTATTCTTAACGCAAATCACGAAGTTATGTTTTAAAAGTTACTTTTTTGTCCAAATAATACACAAATTTATAACCTCCTATACTCATGCACAAATCCAAACTACAGTGAACAATGAAATTATCATTTAGAAATATGCTTTATAAAACTTTCTGGTGGAAAGAAGTTGAACACACTTCACTACTGCTGCCAAACCTCCGACTCTTTCTTTAAATATAAAAACTCTAAATACAATTTAAAAAAATTAGGATTTAGTGTTTTGAAAGAGTTGGAAAAAGGTTTTTATTTGTTTATAACTCAATATTTGTGTGGCCTAAAGTATCATACATAATTTTGTTGTGTGTTTTTTAAATGTAAAATTGCAGTCTTTAGTACCATTAAATTGGTTGATCATATCTTTTAGCTGAAATAATAATGTTGGATGGGTTGACAGTAGTCTACAGAAGTAATGTTGATTTATACTTTTATGTCATGGGCTCCCAATACGAAAATGAGGTTACTTTTTAGTTTTATAACATTTTAACACATTAAAATTTTTTTATCACTTTTTAAAAATCTTTTATTTTTTAGTTAATCTTGATAAGTGTCTTTTTATTACTTTTTGAAAATCATGTTTTGTTTTTTAGTTAATTTTGGTAAGTGTCTTGAATGCTTTCTTTGATGCAGTCAGCACTATGCTTCGCAAAAATGTTGAAAAGCGGTTTTTAATGGATCATCTGGATGTAGTACTCTTAGCAATAGACGAGTTAGTTGATGGAGGGTATGTTTTTTTTATATGGAGGGTATATTTTTTTTATATGGAGGGTATGTTTTTTTATTAGCAAAAAAATAGGAATGAAAGCTTTTATTTTAGTAGACAGATTTAAATAAAATAGGTCTGCATCGTTTTTAAACACATTGCTAAAATCTTTGTTAAATACATCAAATAATAATATTTTTACCGTTTTTTATTTTATCATTTTCGTCAAATCGTATTTTATAAATGTTTAAAACATACTATTAAATGGTGAAAATCACTGTTGTTGAATCTTTTCACCGCTTGTTTTTTCACTGCTTACATGTTTTTGTGTTACTACAGGGTAATATTAGAAGCTGATTCCAACAACATTGTCCAAAGAGTCGCTGTTAAGGTTAAATAAAATTTTTCAGAAATATTTTTTACTAATTTAAGAGGCTTTTTAAAATTTATAAATTGAAGTCAGTTGTTTTAGTTTAGTAAGATTTAGTTAACAAATTCATTCAAATTCATTTTTTCAGACTGATGCAGACGTTCCATTAACAGAGCAAACTGTTGCACAGGTTTGTTTTTTTATAATTTTGAAGAATATAAATCTATTCATCATTAATTTGACTTTAATTTGCAAACAAGTATTTGACTTTAGGAAATAAGTTCCAGTTCTCTGGTGATTAAGTATTTTCATATATTCTAAATGTTGTTTACTTGCTTGCAATGGTTATATTTACTTGCTTGCGAGGGTTATATTTATTTGTTTGCGATGTTTACTTTTTATTTGTTTGTAATTATTTTTATTCAAAATGTTTATTTAGGTTTTACAGTCGGCCAAAGAACAATTAAAATGGTCACTTTTAAAATGAAGTTGTGATTTTTTTTTTGTATTGTAAACATAGGGCATTTAATTTTTAACAACAAAAACAAAAATGTTTAGTAAATAAAATTATTTTTTTCTGGAAAATATTCAAATAGTTAATAACAAACCATTGGGAATAAGAAAAATTTGAAAAAGAAAAAAAAGAATAGTGTTGTTGTTGTTTTTATTTTATTTTTTGTATTTGCTAACTTATTATTTATTATCATTCTTTACAAAATATGAATTTTTTTTTTAAACTTTTGAAACTAAAGTTTATTTTCAAAATTAGAAGATTATTAAGTATTCTTAAATCTTATGAACAAAATCTTTAATTTAATTAACAGAGATTTTTAATTGATTTTGGTAATAAGAAAGTTCAAATTGACATATATCCCTGATATTATTAGTTTATATATAGTTATATATTATATATAAGTTGTAATAATTAGTCACACTAACTGCATATTACGTTTTTACGTTTCGATACAAAATGTCCGCATACAATATGTATGATGCGCATACATACATAACCCTATGTATGCGCATCAAATCAATTGCGCATACATAGGGTTATGTTTTTTCTTTATAATCTGGTATTAATGCATGCATTAAAAGTTATGATTGATGGTTGTTATGATATAGAAGTATACGATGTTGTTTTGAAGCTGGAACGGTTTAACTTCATTTTTCTGTTAAAACGTAAGTAAATTATACAGAAATATTTCAATTTGATTGTTTAAAAAAGATATAGATAGTAAATAATAACTTTTGAAGGTCTCTTGTGCTTCTACTTTCAAACAACGACTTTTTGAATTATAAAAGTTAAACTCTCTACTCTTACAGGTGCTTTTTTTAGGGGTCTTCTTAAAGTGCGTACGCCAAAAAATCATATACTTTTTTCCAGGCACACCTCTTTAGTAAAGGCCGTTTTCCACAAGCCGCGCGAAGCAAATTTTTTTGTCGATAAGCGCAGATAAAACATATCTGGCAACTATGCTGATAGAGCGTTTTGCTGCAGCGGATTCTTTTTGACTTTTTGCGAGTCGTCGTAAGGGAAAACCAATCAAGTTTTAAATATTATATCACGTGATGTCAACCGAAAGCACGTTTTTAAAACGACAAAGAAGCGCATTTCTCAATCTGGCGTTCTTATTGATTTTCTATGGACTCAAGCATTAGTGAATTCATCAAATATGAAGAAAGACTTAAATCAAGAATTTACAAATGTAAACTCGCACACTGTCATTTCCGAAAGTTACACTTCACAAGAAGGTTTATGTTCGAGTGGCCACACAAAGACAAACCTTTTTGTGAAAGACCCCACATGGAGTTAAATCTGCTGTTTGTTCTTGCAGTAACAGTTCTTTAACAGAAATGTTCATATCAGAGTTTAGCATTTATTTACTTATACTTTCTTATAAAAAACTTAATATTAAATTATTTTATTACAAAATGATATCACATACAAAAACAGAAATGTTAGAATTAATGCATGGAAAGAAATTCCCACATGTTTCTAAGTAGAAAGTATGTAAAAAAAAAGTATTAATTGCTTTTAGTTAAACATGCAACGTAAACTTATTGCTGCCATTTTTATTGTTGATAACGAAAAAAATGGAAATAAGTGGAAATCAAAATGGCGTTTTGTCAAGTTGTATATTATATGAATATTTTGTCTTTTGGAAAACAGCCTTAAGTCAGTAAAAAACGAGTCTTACGTGAGATCAGCAACATTGAAAACAAAGCCTAAAACCCAGTGCCAGAGCTATGCTAACCATACCCCCAATTGAGGGAGGGATGGGGTGTCCAGCAAATTCAGGTGTTCTTTTGCAAGTTTAAGGAACTTTTCATTTTAGTAATACCTAGCGGTAAAATTTTGAAACCCGGATGACAGGTTTTTTGGGGGTCTTTTGACTCATTAGCCATGGCACTTCTAAAACCTGTTTTTTACGGACTCAAAAAAGGTAGCCTTAAATACCAGGCTTATTCAAAGCTAGTGTATAAGGGGTGGCATGTGTGTGCATAGAGACACTATAACCTCGATTCCTCTATATCATCTTCCTTTTATGTTTGGAAATTAAGATCTTTAGTCATAATTTTAATTTTCTATTGATTAATTGCTATAAATTAGAAAAACGAAGTAAGTAAGTATTTTAAATTGAACCCTCCCCATACGATTTAGTACGCTATTTGAGGAACCCTCCCCCACCCTATCCCCTATGAGCGAACGTACTTTATGGACGATTCCTTATTGCTGCAAATCCTTTTTCGATAGCTTTACTTAATTGTTTAATGGTTTTAATTTTATTATCACATTCATCGCCTAAAAAAGTCTTGAGTCATCTATTAATGTTATTAAATCTGTCGAATTTAAATAAAAGACATAATTTGTAATGATTTTCTAGAATTTTTCAATTTTTTTCATAACGTTTGCTCCATCAGTCGTAATACCAATATTGTCCTCAATTTTATTTCAAAATTTTAGAATCTTTTCTTTAGAAATCAGACACATTTTTTTTTGTTTGTTTGTTATTTAGGTGCCCCAAGAAGACCTAACGGTCTTGTCACAAAGCATAATTTTATAGTTTATCTTGTCACAGAGTTGATTTTATTATAAATAATGGGTACGTAGCATTGGGAAAGGGGGGCGTGAAAGGTGTGCGGGGGCGGGACCGGGAGTGTTTAAAGCATCAGATGGTACAAGGGGAAGGGAGGTCCTAAACAGTAGTTTTATTGCGTACGTAATTTATTGATAACCCCTTAAATAAAAGATTTATTCTCTTTATACGCTATATATATGTTTTGCAAAAAAACAATAATTTTTTGAATCTTTTTTTATTTGCGATGATAGATAGCGATGATAGAGGGTTCGCAAAGAGAATAAAGAGCTGTGGAACAAACATCAAAAATTTAATAAATAATTATGTACAAAATATTTTTAATGTCTTATGGATTGTATCAAAATATTTTTAATGTCTTATGCGTTGTATCAAAATATTTTTAATGTCTTATGCGTTGTATCAGTATATACTACTTTTAGTTATACAATAAATTTTATATTTTTATTTTTTTAATTAAATTGCTAAAGAAAAGAATTAATTGCTAAAGAAAAGAAACGTTCATCGACCATTGTTGACCTATTTAAAGATACAAAGAAATATAGCTACATGTATTTATGTATAATGAAACAAGATTATTTATACTAATCTATGAAAAGTTTTAATTAGTTTTAACTTGCTAAAGCTACGTTCTGTACTTGCCACAGTAACTGGTACAGTAAGAATGATTCGTAATGCAACAACTAAATTGGGATAAGTTTCTTGCAGCTCTTCTTTAAGGCATACTTTTCCTCCTTGTTAACTTTGACAAACCGTTTTAACTTCATTTCTAAATCTTCAAAATCTACATCACCAAGCTTCATTTTCAAACTTTTGCAATATATAGACAAAGAATTTTCATTACAGGCTTTGATAAGACTCTCAGATGCTAAAGAAAGTCATTAAGATTTGTGACAATACTGATCTGTTCAAAATGCTCTTTTACTGATGCAATTGACATATCAATTAATGGCAAAAAAAAAAAATCTGCTTTATACTGATGTTCGTTTGCCGAGTGTGATCAACACACTCGGCAAATGAACATTAGTATAAAGCAGATTTTTTTGCCATTAATCAAAACTTTTTAGGGACAAAAAGTAACAAAGCAATAAATTAAAAAAAATATAAGTTAGCCTTTTCGTCAAGTCATCCAGTGTTCAAAGTATTTAAAATGTGCACTGCTTAAAATGTGTTTTGTGTTCATTAAATTTTTTTGATAAACCTTCCCAAGTGTTTATTACTTGTCGGGATGGTGAAGAAGTTATTCCAAAAGTTATTCCAAAAAGTTTGCAACAAAAACAAAATACTTTATTGCTATTCAAAGAACATACGAGCCATGTCCGTTCAAAGATTTCTCCATTCTTTATCTTGCTGTTATAATAATTCAGTGAAAATCGTCTTCTTTCTAAATTGTCTGTAAAATCAATTTTAAACTTTTTAAAACCATATTTAACAATGTCACACCTCTGTGCGTCAGAAACATCATCAGGCAACTCAGAAGAATCATCACGGAGAAAAATAGGTGGAATTGTTATGCCATTTGATGTAGACTCACATATCAACCTATCTGACTCTAGTATTCAAATAATGACAATCAGAATTTTTTTAAATTTCTGTTGGTGTAGAAACACTTCCAGGCTAAACTGCTGGTTTCAAAAAATGTGTTAGTTTAGGGTATTTTGTGATTTCCTCCCTTTGTTGGGGTATTTTGTGATTTTCTCTTCTCTTAGTGGCACCATTTTTAATTTTTTTCATGCCAATATTTATATCGTGAAAAACTAACGAAAGATATATATAAATTTTTGCAAACCTTCTTTCATTGTTTATTTTTTATGATATAATTGGAAAATGCAAAATAAAAATAATAAATTTATAAAGTTTGCGTTTTATTATATAATTCGGACCTCGGGAGTGTTAATTCCTTTTTTTTTTTTGCATTAAAATTGTTGTTGCTTTTTTTTTACGCTTGCATAATTTAGGTAATATCGTGATTAAAAGGCCAGGTTTTTTATTAATAGTAACAGTAGCTATATATATTTAAATATTTTAATTATAAAAATACAATTTTTTTTTTTTTAACTTTTGAAAAGGGCCCCTAAAAATACTTTTAGTTACTTTTAATTGGGGTGTGTGAGGGAGCCTATCCACGGCTCTGATGTCTCTCCTACTTTAAAAAACACCTGCTGAAAACATCTTCTTTTTTACTTGGAGGTTATAATATTGATCTAATAAAATCAAATAATGAAATTGCAACGTCTGATTTTTTAAAGTTATTTTCTTTTTATAATATTCACCCTTTTATCACTTTGCCGACTAGAATTACTAATCACTCTCCGACAATTATTGATAATATTTTTTCTAATTAAATAATTAATCAAACTATTTTAGAAAATTTGACAACTTCTGTTTCGGATCACTTATCTCAGTTTTGTATTTGTCCCAATTTTAATAAATTATTCACGCATACTTTATATAGCAGGAATTTTAAAAACTTCATAAAGAAAACTTTAATTCTGATCAAAAATTGACTGGGATGATGTTATAAAGTCGAATGATACTAACGCATGTTA